GAACACCTCGGTATGAAGAGATGAAATCTGGAATGGTGGGGTACCCAGCATCACACATATAATATTTGCCTATAATTTTATTAAGAAAATTATTAAGGAAGTCAAGTTTGCATATTAAAATTAAAATGCATTAAGTTAAATTTTTATATAATTACCATCAATCCATGTGGTTGTGGTCTAGATAATGCATCCTAGAGAATCCTATAATTATTTGCAGACCCCTCCCAACCTGCTAAAATATATGTGAACAGTTTGTTTGGGGTACAAGCTGCAAGCATATTCTGCATAACACCTTTGCGGCCTCGAAATCGTGCAACAAGATTAATCGGAAGCATTGCATCAACATGAGTCTCATCTATCATACCAATGCAATCCTATAATACGTGTATCACATTACTAAGTTAACATTTATTTTTATTGATTATACATGTAACTGTGTGCAGATATACCTTGAAATAAGGGTAGTATGTTGGGTTGTTAACGATCGCTTGGGGAATGTCATTGGGGGCTTGTCTCATGTAGTGTCCACACATGCAAATAATTGCTTGTAATACCTTGTTGAAATATCTATTGATTGTCTCCACTGATCTTATAAAATAAGATCTCACAATACGATTATTAGATTTATGACCCAAAATGTTCAGTGTCATGATAAGCTGTTCTTTCAATGTTACATTCCTTGAGTCTTTTAGCAGCCTATTGTTCCTCATTATACTTGCTAGTTTAACAAAAACACCACTCCGCATTCTAATATAGTTTACACAATTATCACTAAAACCATTATAAATACGCTCTATGTGTTCAATTCTAGCCCTCTCTTGTTTTCCCTCACTTGGAGCACTACGAATTGATTTACGTCTAGCCTGCATTCTCCATATGAATGTAAATATTATAAAAAATGGATAGTACAGTACCTTGAACCATATTAACAACACTTTGTTCATTGATACAATCCCCATCACCATCCATCTACGATGCAAACATCAAATTGAAATAATTAATATACCTATGTATTAGTTTTAGACCTCTTTATGAATAGGAGTACATTTCTATCAATAGATATTAACATAATCAAATGCATACAATCTTTTAAAACATTGAATAGTTATTTATGCTTATTTGAAATATATGTAAATATTTAGAAGTTGTTGAATGAGTAACACAAAGTAAATATTATATAAAAACAATAAGAATTGTTTCTATAAGAAGAACAATAATTGAGATTGTGAGTCTTTTGTCCATGTCAACAAATAATTGAGATTGTGAGTCCTTTGTCCATGTTAAGAAGAATAATAATTGAGATTGTGTCCTGTGTTCATGTCATATAGGTATTCTGTTTTGGTGTTTTGCATTGATATCTATGGATGTTGAGGGGATAACTAACATGTCCAGCACTATAGGCAGTTAGTTCATGCAAGCAAAAATAGTCTGCCAAAGTTCTCCTAAATATGGACAATAGTTAAAGAAGAAGCATGATATATATGAACCAAACAAGCCAAAAATAAAGCAACATTTACAAGACCATTAACAATAATAACATTATTCCCATTTGCCTGCGTGTTGCAAGTTGCAACAGTCACAGAACTTGTGTCCTCTGCCTGTTAACAAATCAGACACAATAGGGTGCAGGTGCATCCTCACCCCCTCCAGGTGCCTCTAGTGCTATCCATCGCGGTCAGACTTGGAATGCTAGTTTTCACTGCAGCTGGAGCTCCATAATGCTGAAGGGTGAGAAACTAGATCTTGTAGCATTGTACATATACATTGATTTGTATAGTCTGCGTTTCGTGCGGTAGTCAGCTTAATATTATTACAGAATGTGATAGGTTTTTAAATTGAAAGTGGCATTGTTTTCTTGAGCTACACGTGCTTGGAGTTCAAAACATGATTTTGTGGATGGTTTGCAATTTTTACCCCCTTAAGAATGTCTTGGTTCTTGGGGCTCCATTCAAAGGTCAAGGAGTCCAGTTATGCCTTGATTAAGATCCACGATGGACTGTTCATTTTCATTTGTAATCTGAATTTCCTCTTGAGCGAAAGACCGACTATGAAAGCCCATACGAGTCTTGTGAATATTCAGGTGGCCATATAAAATTGCGTTAGTAATGCCTCATTCTTGAGGGATGGAGTTCTATGTAGGTTGTAGTCATGTCTTAGATCTATCCTATATTTCATATAATTAAAAGAATGTTCAATGATACCTGAATTAATAAGGTCATGCATATGGTGACTTTGTACTGATCTAGAACATGAAAATTTCCTTGCACCTTTGTTTCTTTAAACATGATTAGATTGTTCCAATTTGTGGAGTAACTTTGATTTGTCGGAATTTAGAAAGTGTTCTACAAAAAAAGATATGCAAATTGAACGGAACTGGAATTGAGAGAAATGCAAGTCAAATGATTGCATCAATCCATGCCAAACCAACATGAACTATTCCATCTCAGAAATAAAGAAATTGCAAAACCCAGAATTTATCACAAAAAATTCACTAAAAAGGAAGAATGTGTACCTTAGTTTGATGGATTTGCACAAATCAAGCACCAAAAACAATGTTTCTCCAAGAAAGGAGCTGCCTTTTTGGTAAGATCTAGCAAAAAATCAAAAATCCGAGGAGCGAAGGCACGATAAACCAACTAAATCATAGATAGAGCAGAAAATTAACAACTCAACAAACTCACAACGATCACAGAGGAACCAAGGCGCGAAGAGAGTGAATAAAACGAGGGAAAGTGGCGGTAACCCTAGCCTTCAAGAACTTTTCCCCAATAAAACCTGCGAACTGACAATAGTACAGAATGGAGCATTTTTTACCGATTTCCTTCGGTTTTGGAAGGAAATGGGGGAAAGGGGAAGAGCTGATGTAGTTGAGCTTTCTGCGGCTGGCAATTCGAAAGGAGTAAGTGAACCAAAGTAGGACAAAGAAAACTCTAGAATGGGTTTAGCTGAGTTGGAAGCGGTGTCAGGACCAAGAAATGGGTTCTGTGGGTGTTATAAAGCGAACCAAACATGCCATTAGTAAACTTCCAAACAAAGCATAAGTGATGAAGACCTGCATCAAATCTGACCATTCATTTTCACTGTCCTCTAGTCTCCCTCCAACATGGCTGCATTAGCTGTCGGTATGAGAAAGTCTCTCGACATTTGGCACACGTGTTCCTCTATTTTCGATGGGATACGTCTCTGCCAAAGAAGGTAAAAATGTTAAGGGCAAAATGACCACATTGGTATATTTTGTAGAGGCTTGGTGACATGTTGGTATATTTTCTTTTAGTTTTATCAGATTAGTATATTTTGTAAACTCCGGTGCCATATAGGCCTTAAGTTTGGCCGGAGTTACTATTCTGGCCAGTGCTAACGGGATTTATTGCATAAAACCCCCTTATTAAAACCCCATCATTTTCCTAACCCCCTCCTCCTCCTCATCCTCTTCAACCTCTCCCTCTCCGTCCTCCTCATCATCCTCTTCCTCCTCCTCCTCAATAAATTTGGGCTGGGATCATGGGCTTGATGACGATGAACGCTAATAACATTTGAAGTTTTTACCTACAACTCTGGAAGCACTCTAAAGAAACATAACACTCACAACCCAAAGCATCAACTCGAGCAGGAAGCAATCCCCCTAATCCACAATCCCCCAATCTCGGTTCAAAACTCACATTCAAAATCACATTCCCTGGCTTTAACCTATGATGCAAGATCCTTGGGCTACACTCAAAGTGCAAATACCTCAACCCTTTCACAATGCCAACTGCAATCCGATGTCTTGCATCCCATCCAAGGCTCAATTGAAGGAGGAGGAGGGAGAGGGGGAGGGGGGAGGGGGGGTTAGGAGCATGATGGAGTTTTAATAAGAGGGTTTTATACAAGAAATCTCATCAGCACTGGTCGGAACAGTAACTCCGGCCAAAGTTAAGGCCTATATGGCGCCGGAGTCGACAAAATATACCAATCTGACAAAACTAAAAGAAAATATAACAATATGTCATCAAGCCTCTACAAAATATACCAATCTGGTCATTTTGCCAAATATTAAGTATACTTGCAAAAATAAAGAGAATATGTACACTTATAGTAGGGTTAATTTCTGAAAAACCCCAAAAAATCGGGCCGGAGTGTTGCGATGGATCCCTATAAACTTTTTTTTATTCCACTAAATCCCTATGAACTCTTAAGAGTTATTGCACATAATTTCCCTGAACCTTTTTTATTCTAGTAAATCTCACTTATTCAATTCCCAAGTTTAGCATCATCAATTATCAATTAGAACATGTCACATCGAAAGCAAATGACAAAAAGATACAAAAATTCCTTCTGGACCCAAAAAACTATAATTTGATTAAAAACATTATTTTGTTTTGGTACCTTAAGTTTACATATTTTTAAATTTGATACTCCAGAGTTTTTTTCAACACTTTGATACCCTAAAGTTATATATTTTTAATTTTAATTTCTCAAAGTTCTTTTATGACATTTTGATACCCCATACTGTACCCTTTCTTAAACCCAAGAATTTGGTTTTCACACCTTCGTACCAAGAGGTTTAGATATCAAAGTTAAAGAAATGTAAACTTAGGGGTATCAAAGTAAAAATGTGTAAACTTTGGGGGTATCAAAGTGTCAAGAACAAATCTTAGAATATCGAAATTAAACAATAAGTAAACTTTGGAATATCAAAATGTCAAAAATAAACTTCAAGCAATCGTGATTAGAAAATGTGTAAACTTTAAGGTACGAAAGTGTAAATAACCCATAAAAATACAAAAAATCCTTCTCAACTCGAAAAAAAATATCATTTGATTACGAAAATTTGTTTGAGTTGATACTTGATGATGCCAATTTGGGGAATTGAATGATGAATTTTAGGTGAGATTTAGTTGAATAAAAAAGTTTAGGGGAGTTATGTGCAATAACTCCTAAAGTTCCTAGGGATTTACTGGTAACAATAAAGTTCATCTTAGTATAAATGTATATATTCTCTTTATTGTTGCGAAGTATACTGACGTTTATACCATCCATCTTTGGCGGACGGCTAAACACTAGCGACCCCTGCCTCCCCACGAAATCTCTTTCACTCCGCCGATCCCCGCGAAAGGGGAAATTTTGCATTTCGCCCCCTAACAATTACAGATTTGCAGCGATGGCAGGCCAAGGGAGGTCGAGGCCGAACCTTCTAGTGACCGGGACGCCGGGGACAGGGAAGACGACAACGTGCTCTCTGCTGGTGGACGCCACCGGGCTCCGCCACATCAACGTCGGCGATCTCGTCAGGACCAAGGGACTCCACGATGGATGGGACGAGGAGTTCGAGTGCCACGTCATCAACGAGGATTTGGTTAGTCTGTGCTTTTTAGCTTAAGCCCTAAACCCTAATTCTAGCCCTAGATTTTGTTGTTTGTGGAGAAATTGAAGGTTGAAGGGGTGTTATTGGGGGTGAATTCATTAACTCTAACCCTAACTGTAGGAAAAAAAGTCAAATTTGAATAATATTCGTAAACCTTAGTCGAAGACTGAATTCAAACAATTAAAAGGGAAAATTCGTTTTAAAATGCTGTGTGATGACTCAAACAAAATTGAGTTTTTGCATATATTTTTCTGTAGAAAGGTGAAGCATATGACATGGGCATTGCTGAATTTCCTTTGAAGGGTAAATTGTAGATTCTAATACTTATTTAACTATTCCAGACTGAAGATGTAGTATTCAAGATTGGCATTAAACAATGAAAGTTGAGCAATTTTCCTTCCTGCTCTTAGGCCTTTTTCCCCGCTTCTTCATTTAATCATGTTTGTACTAGGACTGGGAGTTATTTTAGTTGGTAATTTGAAAATTGATTTTGAAGTTGGGGATGACACAATATAGCATTGGTTCCGGGGAATAGGGAGTGTAAAGTGAACATTTAGAAATTGGTTCACCATGTTTATGGCTTGCAAAACCCCTTAATCCGTACTGATGGATGACCTCTCTATGTGAAGAGTTAGTGGAAGATGTTAATGTGTAAATTTTCTTGAAGGTGAGAAGCTAAGAATAATGATTGAATATAGGAACGACAACAACAACAGTAACAGCAATAAAACCTTTATCCCAAATTTTTTTCTGGTCAACTACATAAATCGTATTTTTCCATTTGGTGACATTTTGGGTCATCTTCTTTGTTAAATTAATTATTATCTTTTCTTTCTTCATTGTTTCCAATCAAGTTGTCTTATGTCTATCTCTAGACTTCTTTTCCCTATTACTTGTAATCTTATTGCTTCTTTTAACCGGTGCATTAAGAGGCTTCTATTGTCTATGACCAAACCTTCTCAAATGATTCTCGCGATTTTTATTTTAGATAAGATCAACTCTAATCTCCTTTTAAATATTAATGCGCTTATTTCTTATCCTATCTTTTCGTATTTGTCCACAGTACCATTGGAACATTCTCATTACTCTCAATAGGAGCGTCCATTGTTATTCCATTGAAGATAGGAGGGAAAAAAGAAATTCACCTTAATGATCAATCAAGCAAGGGATTGGGGTTTGAAGTGAAAACACAATGTGTATTTTTTTTAATTGGGGTTTGCGGATTTTTTATTATTTATTTTTTTGAGTAGGGTGGGTTTAAAAAACTCAATTCATCCATGGTAGAAACCTTCCACCTTTGAGCAGGGAAAGAATATTTAAGGTTATAAAGGTGAGAAACTAGAACGAATAGGTCAATATCTACAAGTAAAATGGTTAAGGACAAGGTACGAGCGAGAGTCATTTTCTTCTTCATTATGTAAGCTAAAGTGAGTATTTAGAGTTGTATGTATATATTTTAGGGTTGGAAGAGTCACTGACAAAAAGTTGAAACTTAGAGGTTTTTGAAAGCTTATGAAAACTATGCTTTTGCAGTAATTAGTCCTAATTATTTTTGTTGCTGTTGATCTTGTTTTGTCGAATCTAATAGCTGCACTAAATAGCTTGGGAACAAGGAAGGAAATAAAAAGGCTTGGGAAATTTTACGAAACAAATTGTAGCCTATCCACACTAATACTACCAACTAAAATTCCTTGATGACCATGATGGTTGAACATCTTTATGTAGCATAAAAACCCACACGATGATGCATAAATACGATAAGGAAATATTGAGATATAGCTCAACAACTGTACTGGAGATTGTTTTGAGCATGATTGAGAGAGAAAAGAGATTATAACTACTAATAGGGAGAAAATTGGATCAAGTCTCTTGTTTATTCATTTGGAATTGAATTGGAGTAGCTTCCAAGGACTCCTTATGTCAAATATTTAAAGCACTCAACATTTGGTTTATTGGAAATGATGAGATACGGGCAAAAGCTCACCCTTTAGAAAATGCACATGGTGTTGCTTATTAGTAATCATGATGTTGATCCGATTTCAAGTGAACATGAATAAATATTTAATTGGTATCTCATAGATAATAAGTTCTTAAATTGTTACGCATATGACTTGTTTCGGTTCTGGGTTTAATTCTGAAATCGGTAACATTTATCTTTTTGATAAACCCCTTTTTTCGTCTAAGTAAATGTTTTAAAGATGTTAGCTAAAAACATGTATTCTTCTGTAGGAGGACCTTTTAAATTTTTTTTATCTTTTGATTATCTCATCACTTATGAAGTATATGGATATATTCTGATATTTGCATATTCAAGGGATGTACCTTGGATAAAATTATAATCCATGAACTATGTTGTCTAAGATTTTACTTTATTTGTAGATTCATGTATATAATTACCCGCTTAATTATGAATAATTAATTTGTCAAAGTTTTTGGCTCTATTTACTTATATATTTGTTAAATGATATCCAATTTATTAAATTTATAATTGTTTAGGTAGCTATTAGTTTACGACTTTTAATTTATCATATAATATCCAATTTATCTAAGTTTCATTTGTCTAATTAATTCATGTACATGAGTAGTACTTTTATAGTTATAGGCTAGGTCGCATAGGTACGATGTAGGTGCTGGTATGGGTATGGTACACGACAAATTTGTAAAGGATAGGGTACATGGACACGGTTAAAAAAATTATATATATAATTTAAAAATTAACAATTATCTTTCATGTCGCAACCTTTTCTTTTATTTTTTAGGTTCTTTCATTATATTCTAACTAATTCTCAATCTCCTAAATAAAACAAGCCCTTTTGAACCATGTCCTTTAAAAGAAAAAAATCAAATCAAATTTCTCTAAAGGTATGTTGTGCTATCCTTGCTATTATTTTTACCAAAAAATGATAAAATTTAATGATGTACCATGGTCAAACAATGCCAACTGTACCCCGTGTGGTGCATGATGTCATATTGTCATCTACTAGGCTATCACTTAACAATTTAAAAAGTTGGGGGTGAGAGAAAGTTACCCATGTGATACATGATGTCATGTTCCACTAAAGCAATATAAATTAAAAAAGATGGGGAGAGGGGTGGGGGGGATAGATTCTTTTTCATCTCTTTCCTCTGCCTCAAACATTAGAAAGCCATGACCAATTTTCTGGAAAAAAAAACAGAGAAACCCATGGCTAGTGAACATTTTTCGTGTCCACACCATTTGGGTACGGATTCATAACCAAAACATGTTGGACATGGGTGCGGTCCCCCACTGGCCGTGTCGGGGTATCCTATGTTATAGATATATAGAAAATAATCTTTAACATGCTAAATTAATTAACCTACTAATTAGCCTTCCTCTCTCTCAAGTAAAGCAAGTAAAGGGAGGGTGTGTGTGGGGGTGGGGGGCTCCCTCTTTTCACCTCTCTTTTTCTTTTCTAGTGTTAGGGAGGTTGAAAATAAGGTATCCTAATTCTGTTAGAAATTTAACGAAGTTAAGTTGGAAAGACATACGAGTTTTGAGATTTGTTTGATAAATATCAAAATTTAGGGGTTATTTTAGGAATATACTAGATTTGAGGGGTATATAGGTACTAACCTTTTTTTTAGGTTTTAGGTTATACCATATATGAAAATTTGTACTGTCCTATTTGTGTCCTATACCATAATTTACTGTGATGCTATCCTATTATTCATTGGAAACTAACCTGTTATATGTAGTATTCTGTCATGTGCATGGTGCATTACCCTTAATATTGAGTTCGACCTTAGCACTGATTGTTATTTTATACATTAAAAACTACATTACACCCGACCAATTCAAATCTAAACCTATCCTACTTAACACACTTCGAACTTGACCTGGTTGATAAACGGGCAACACTTATAAGGCTGGGTTACCCAAATAGAGGTGGCTAGGTTCTGCTAAGTCTTTGTTTGATAAATGGATGTGGTTGCAGTACATATATCTGGTCAAAGGATAATCTTCAGTCAATCTGATCTAAGCGAACTAATTCCCACCCTTGTGTATGTGCTTATTGCAGGTATTTAGGCCAATTACTTGGGAATAAGAGGAAAGAAATTGATCCTCAATAGTTAGCAAATTCAACATTAGAATGTTCAAGCATTTTGTGTTCATATTCCGACATTAGTAGTGGATTAGTGATTCGTCTTCCCATTAACTAGTATAGAACGATAACTGATTAGTACCTTTCTAGATATTTGCTTTTGCAAGTGCTTTTGACTAACATTAAAATATATGGCTAGTTTATTCAGAGGTCCTTGTTTGATTTTTGGGAGTGCTCTATTTTAGCTTTTAGTGCTTTGGGTCATATTACAACTTTCATGCGTTTGAAAAATAAGCATACAATTCTATAAAATCCTGAAACGCCTCTTTAGTATGATTCTCTTCCTTAGGTGGAACGTGATCATTCCATTCTTGCTGGAGTCTACTACCATCTATCTTTTTGAACTAGTCAACCTTCTGTTAGAAAAACTCAAATCTTCAAGGGTCTCTCTTCCAGTTCCTTTATAATATATTTAGTATGTATTTGTCATATTTACAAAGGTTCTTCTCATATGCAGCTTTGATTGTCCATATTAAGCGAATTATTGCACTAGTAATCTAGTAATTGCTAGCCTTGTATCATTATTAACCTAAAGCTCCATTGCAGAACATGCCAACACTTTTGTATCTGTGTTTTACTGTGATCTTCTATTGTCCAAAAGTTGGTTTTTTTAATGTATTCATGAGTTCATATCTTGTTGCTAATTTCCTTTTTTTTTGGTAGGTTTGTGATGAGTTGGAAGACATAATGGAAGGGGGAGGTATAATTGTAGACTATCATGGCTGTGATTTCTTCCCTGAGCGCTGGTTTGATCTTGTGGTGGTCCTCCAGACTGACAATTCTATCTTGCATGACCGCTTGACAAGCAGGTACAATAGTTTGTCCTGATTTGATAATGACCAACATCTACTACAACTCGTAAGTGATCAACTACAACCTTTCTCTTCATGATTTGTAGCAAAACTTACTACTGAAAGCAGCAACAACAAACTCTACGAATTCAACCATCCCCTAAATTCATTATGGGAAAAATAGAACTCATTTTCATTTGATATCTATCCATTAGAATAGCCATCGATCTACTCCGATTATAGGGAAATAACTCAAATCTATAGCTATTACCTACAAAAAAGCAACTATACCTGTACTACATCATCTTAACACACTACAAACTTGCCAAAAGATGATAACTTAGAGCTGATTCTAACCCATTAACTGGAGCTGAAAATCTAGAGAGGAAATACCTAAGCAAAAGAGGAATATATAAGTAGTGGCTACATTTCTGCTCTCTCATCATGATGAAACCTTAGCCCTTATAGTCAAAAGTGCTTAAATAAGCCCTTGTAATTAGGGCCTGTTGAGTGATGCAAAGCGGGTAAGGTAGAGAAACCTGGTAGAGAAACCTGGTCGGGTATGAATCAGGGTTAAGTAACTAGGCGCGCGTCATGATTCCCATGTGCTTTTAAGCTAGATATTTTGTAGGTATAATTTGTTAAGATCTGTGTTTGGATTATTTGGGTAGATTTTATATGGTTGTTGTTTGGTAGAAGATATATTTTCAATTTCTTACAATGTTGGTGTCTGGGCATGGATCTCAGTCATGAAGTTTTATAACACCACAAAAGAATGGATAAATATTCAACGTATAACTTTTAAAGAGTAGTGATAACTAGATTATACATTCTAAACTACTCGTATACTCAACAAACAAAATTGTGGAGTCCTTGTAAATTGCTAGCAAGATTTATGAGTCAACAAGGACCCCATATTATTGTTACTTGTAGTGCAAATGTAATATAGGATTTGCTGTACATTTAGCATTAGCCATTTTCAGATATTACACCCATATTCGCACAGATACATGGATGGTTTAGCTTATGAAGGATCTAAAAGTTTTGAATCTAGTCCTTCCTAGATATTCACTTACTCAGATTAGGGGCTGTTTGGGGGCTGTTTGGTTGGTTTCCTAGCAACAAAAGAAAAAGAAATTGGGGATGGAAACAATTAAGGACGGGTTTCCATCCATTTCCTTACAAAAACCCATGAAATGGGTTTCCTTAAATGTAAGTCATCATCCAATGACAACATCTTTCCATTTGATTTCATGGTGCAAACCAAACAAAGTAAAGGAACCATTATAGGAAATACACTTCCTATATTATTGTTTCTTGTAGTACAAATGTAATATAGGATTTGTTGTACACTTAGCATTACCCATTTTCAGATATCACGCGCATATGCGCACAGATACATGGATGGCTTAGCTTATGAAGGATCTAAAGTTTTGAATCTCATCCATCCTAGACATCCACTTATTCAGATTAGTTGATTCTGATTAGAAATCATGCACAGCTAGCCTAGTGATATGTTTCTTTAAGTATACTTAAGTTATCCGCTTGTTAATCTCACATTTTCATTCTTGGTGGCTTCTACTAATAATGCAGAGGTTACATGGGGCCAAAACTTACAAATAACATTGAGTGTGAAATCTTTCAAGTGCTACTAGAAGAGGCAAAAGCGAGTTACCCTGAAGAAATTGTAATGGCGTTGCAGAGTGACACTGTTGAAGACATAAGCAGGAACGTCACTGTTCTGACTGAGTGGGAGAGTAACTGGAGGCGCAGACCCTCCTCTTGATAGTGTTGAGGTTGATAAAGTTGTTATACTTATGACGCTTCCTACATCGGCCATGGAAAAAAATGCAAAATAATTGCTGGTAATGAGGGAGGGGTGTGCTAAAATAAAGCCAAGGGGAATTGTTGGAGTGGAGAATGCCTGAGTCTGCGTTGTTTTTTTCTTTTGTGTGGTACATTTTTGTCTTGGAGTGTGATTGGCTGTATGAAGTTTGGACTTATAATGAGTATATTCGGCCCAATGATTTGATTATTTCCGAAGTGCTTGAAGAATGAAGGTTTAGTTGACAAATTTTCTTGCAGTATCTGATGTTTTCTTTTATTTCAGGAATGTGGTTGGCAAGAGATTATTTTGGGGAATGGGGGCTTATACCTGATTTATTTGTTTCAGTATTCTCAAGTGGATCCAGTGGACATGTTTTACAAGGAAGAGGTCTGAGCTGGGACAAAGAAAAACATCTATATCGGAAATGGATCTTGTAGATAAATGCAAAACGTCTTTCCACATTCACTATTGACAGCCTGTTACGTATGCTGAAAAGCTTTTTCTTGATAATTTTACCAAACAATTTAAGTCTCGCGAGAAAGATTAGACACTTAGATAATTATGATTTCTGAGTATAAATCTTATTATTAGAGATGTTAAATGGGCGGGTATGGGTATTAAATGGGCGGGTCATAAATGGGCGGGCATGTTTTGTCCATTTACCCATTTATGGCCCATTTAACATTTTCTAAATGGGCGGATTTTTACCCGCCCATTTAATAAACGGGTCACTCATTTGCCCATTTAATTATAGTGGTTGTGTATATAATACTTTTGGGGTGTCTTTTGTAAACTTTTAGGGGGCTTTTCGTAAATTTTTGGGGGCTTTTTGCAAACATTTTAGGGGCTTTTCGCAAACTTTTTGGGGGCTCTTTGCAAACTTTTAGGGGCATTTTGCAAATTTTTAGGGGTTCTCATCTACTCATTATCTGTAAGTCCACATCACCCATCTATTTTATTTGTAAATTCAGCAGTCTACGTCAGAAACAATAATAGTCTGCATGACATTTAAATACAATTAATATCCAAGTTTAGTTCTTGATCAAACCAGTAACAATTATTCATGTTCTTTGTCCAAATTCTTAAAAAACAGAGCAAAGGATTGGGGAGAACCAAAGGAACGAAACTGCAACAAACAAACTCAACCAGTGATCGGATCAACATATCCAGCTGATTCACCTCCAGAGCATGCATTCGTTAGCAACGTTATCAGTACAATGTCGAAACCCAAAATTGCGGATTCAAGGATTGCAAATAAAGGGAACTGGTACTCGAACTAGATGTTTGGATGCACACCAAACCCACTTGATCCAATCACAATAACTGGAATTTCCTGTGTAGCATCTGGAAACATCGACAAGCTCCTCGCTCGACCTGGAAACATAATCTCCCTTGGCATTTCCTGTGTAGCATCTGGAATCAATAGTCCGCCACTAGTTTAAAATATAAAAGGCTAAGTGACGGTGAACTCAAACTTTTGTACATTTTGTCAAAGGTAAAGTTACAGTAAAAAGAAATTTGTAGACGGCATTAAAAGCAAAAGATGGAATCTGATGGTAATGAGAAGCTAAATAATTTGGTCCATACATGTCATTATCAGGCAAATACCTTATTACTCTCGAATACATCTATGATATATCATCAGGACGTGTAGGATGAAATGAAACTTATACAAATTAGGATACATCAGAGCTTTAACCAGCATCTGTTCATTAAGATTGACCTGTTCAAGTATCAGATAAGTGTCTAATATGGGTATATCTCCTTCATTAAATTATCAAAGCAGCAGAGAAGTACACATCATAGTTCCAAATTGGCCCTCATTTTAAACCATACATTGTATACATGTATCTATCATTGTAAACATGTTAAATCAAGCATATTCATTTATGCAACAGAACATATATAACCATAAAGACCCATACATTGTATATAGTAGCTTGTAAGAAATAACGATAAAGAAAAAAAAATCAATTGTCATAATACAATTATAGTGATATATGGGACTTATAAGAAGTTTGGTGAACTTGTAATCCAAAAACCAATTTTCATAATACTTTCAACAATTCATCAAGAAGGAAAAAGCACACACATATTCCATAATAACCCCTATAAGAAATTGCAATTACACTTAATTACTCCATAATAACCCCTATAAAACATAGTATCATCACCTAATCAAAATGAGAAAAGTGTCTGTAGAGGATTTAGACACTCCATGATTAATGATTACATTTAGAAACTTGTTAGACAATAGGATTTAGACACTCCATGCTTAACATCAATGGATATCCAAATCCTAGAGTTCAGTGTATGAATTAAAAACATAACATCAATGGATTACTGTGATTCTAGCCATTTACTAACTAAACTGGAACATAATGCCCATAATTTCAGAAAAAAATTCAGAAAATACCCAAATTAGCCTTAGGGTTTTGAGGAAAAGAACTTACAAGTGAGGCGGCGAAAATGAGGAGCAGGAGAAGCGGCGAGATCCGATTTCAGGAGGAGGAATTACGGTTGGGGTTCGAGAGGCGGTTGAGGGCCTTGAGGCGGTGGAGGAGGAGGCGGAGGAGGCTGCGGTTGAGGCGACTGGCGACGGAGGAGGAGGCGGAGGAGGAGGGATTGAGGCGGCGGAAGAGCTCAGAGACTCAGAGAGAGAAAGTGAGAAACGAAGGGATTTTAGGGTTTTGGGCGGGTGGGCGGGCGGGCGGGTATAGAATGCCCATTTAGACCCGTTTAAGTGGATGTAAAATGCCCCCGCCCGTTTAGACCCATTTAATTAAATGGGTGGGTTTTGGACGGGCCAAATAATGGGTGGGCAGATGGGTAAATGGGTATGGGCATAAATTGCCTTCCCTATACGCCTCTAAAATCACATGATTGAGCGACATTGTGGATGATCCTCTCCGTTGAACTTGATCTATATATTTAAAATCCCAACACACCAAGTTTGGGGTGAACCCGTCGTCGTTTGACCCTTCATCCACTCGTATCAATTTTAATGGTTTTGAATGAATAGAACTTTTCACATGACTCGATGGAGGGTCAAACGACGACGGATTCACCCCAAACTTGGTGTGTTGGGGTTTTAGAATATGTAGATCAAGTTCAACGGAGCGGATCATCCATAATGTCACTCAATCATGTGATTTTAGAGGCGTCAATGAGGAAATCACCTCCTATGACAAGGATACCCATTAATCTCATATATATATTTCCTCCTTGACGCTTCTAAAATCACATGATTGAGCGACATTATGGATGACCCGCTCCGTTGAACTTGATCTACATATTCTAAAACCCAAACACACCAAGTTTGGGGTGAACCCGTCGTCGTTTGACCCTCCATCGAGCCATGTGAAAAGTTCTATTCATTCAAAACCGTTAAAATTGATACGAGTGAATGAAGGGTCAAACGACGGGTTCACCCCAAACTTGGTGTGTTGGGGTTTTAGAATATGTAGATCAAGTTTAACGGAGCGGATCATCCACAATGTAGCTCAATCAAGTGATCATCAATGGATAAGAAACTTAGTGGACGTCCACTTAAGTTGACAGAAGTTTTGCTCTATATATATATATATATATACTCACACATAGGGTTCTTTTGTGAGATTTACTCTTGATGTAATCTACTGCGTATATTGTACTTACCTTTCCCTCATCCTCTGACGAGCAACAATGCCACCGAATCATCTAATCCGAGTCCCTGCCCTCGCCGCCGCCTTTTCCTCCTCCTCCTCCTCCCCCTCCTCTTCTCGTCGCCTCCTAAAAATCGGCGATGTGTTGAATCTATCTCGCCGATTCACCGACGCCGACGTGGTCGGGTACTCCGCGGTGACCGGTGACCGGAACCCCGTCCAT